AACTTTGTACTGTTAATGTTATGTTTTTCCAACAACATTGTAACTTTAAAATATCTAAATATTTTAAACAATAATAAATCATACATCTTCATAGTCGAGGACCCTAGGGTTGACTTGTCTATGGTAGATAAACGTGTCATATTTTTCATTGAATCGGTTGAAATAAAATGACTGATTTTCTCCATCTTGTACTCTTTTGGGGCTAAATGTAATTATAAGAAATACATAATAATTCAAAGTAATCGGTGATGTTAAAAAATATCGACAAAAGCACAGTCACGATATTATAGATTACATTTGGGAATGAATCTCCATGTATTTTATGTGGGTAAACAAAATAATGAATTTCTTTCGAACAATAATATACGTATGAATAACTGAAAGGAGTGACAATAATACGAAAGAGATCATAGATAGAGATGAAGACAGAGAGACACACAGACAAACAGACTGACAGACCTCTGCTTGTGTTTGTTCTTAGTTTGGTTCTCTCGTTGATTGTTTTATGCTTCTCTGTTACTGCTGACATCTTTGTATTTTCTAGTGTTATTAAAAAAAACTATATTGAAATATAATTTTGTGGAGGCAAATTTCATGTATTGAAGAGATATCTTTAACAATTGTGTGTTAAAAAATATTTAAAATTTTCGGGTAATATTTACCATGCTTTTGATTTGCTGCATTCTAAACATGATTAAAATACCATGAACGGAATAATCAAAGAATTCAATGGAGATAACGAACAGAATTTAATATCAAAGTCCATTAAACAATACAAAATAGGAGCAGAGCAAACACGGACCTTCGAAACATAAGAGATGGGATCAAGTGCTTTGGGGGCAGTGAGCATCCCCTGCTGACCGGTCACACCAACCGTGGTTCCTTGTCATTATCTTGAAATAACGGAACAATCGGTCGTCAATTCAGTGTATAAATAATGGTCTAACAATTAGTATGAAAAAGTCAGTCAGCATTTTACTGAATGACAAATTGTATTTGCTCACAATGTCATTCTATCGACCATAGAACTTACGAAATGATGCCTTTAAACGAGGCTGCTTATATTCTTGCTTGTGAATAATTTTCCTCGTTTTAAAAATTGTTCATACGTTGAGCAGATTCTTTTTTTCTGCAAGCCTAAATTGAATTTTTTTTTCACAATACGTCTAAGACAATTTAGCATTTAGTCAAATGCTGACTATGATTTATATAATAAGTGTTAGGCCAATGTTTATCCACATAATTGTCAATGAAATTTTCAGTTATTTCCCAATCACGAGAAGGAGCGTACGGTGGATGTTACCGGTGGGCATGATATGAACACTTTTCCATGGCATCTGTTCCAAACTCCGTCCATGTTTTCTCTGCTCAAAAACTGTTTTTTTTTTCGAGTGGAGTTTTGAGCTGGAATTTTGTTAATTATCTTTCTATATTATTTTGAATAAACCTTACCTTTGCAAGTTTTGTTGTCAACGTCAAGATATTCATTATTGCAACAAGGGACACCATCTGGTCTAAAATATAAATTTGAATAAGTTGACACGAAAATATAAAAGTATTAAGGAACATAAAAGAACATATTCTATCAATGTTAACCACTTTAAGAAATTTTATCTTCGTTTATCTAACGTCAAATGAGATTCGGATATTCAGATAATATATTAATTAGAAACGTCGTACAGCTCTAAAATAAAAATCCACTCACCTTTGACACTCACTACTGCAGGTAGCAATATTAATAAATATAATCAACAATGCTAAAATTATCTCACATTTTGATTTCATTTTAGTTTTTTTCCCTTAAAGATTAAAAGAAAAATGTTATTTATGTTAAAATTATGAAATGATTTTTAAAAAAAATTAGTTTGACTATGCAGTATAACTGCCGTATTTTATAAGGTCTACAAGGGAATATCTCTACAAGGAAAAAAAAACTTGCGCTTTAAATAGACATTTTTTCAAAAATTCTTTCCGGAAAAAGTCAAATGTTTAAAAGTTAAAAGTAACAATAACTAAAAAGAACTTTTGATTGAAAACATTTTATAAGTTATTGCATGTTTCTTTTGAAATTATATAATGAGAGGTGTCATGAATAATTGATTTTTATCATGTATGTCTAGAGTAATCCATATGTTATTTATTTAAAGGAATTATAAAGATTTCTCCAGCATATGATGACCTATAGTATTACAGATGTTACTGTTTCTAGATTTCTTCATATTATGTAAGTGATAGTTTTTATGATCATTAGAATGAATTAAGGAGGCTGGGGGTCAACAATTTAACCCCAAAGTAACCACCAAATTTAACTTATTTTTTTAGATGTGGTATATTAAGCTGTCAACATTCATTTGACAAAGAAAAAATTCATAAACTTTAGTTTTAAATTTTTCTGTATCTTTATATGGAGCTCTTCTTTTAAAGGAGAAAGAAATAGTCTGAAAATAGCTGCCATCCCCCCCCCCCCCCCAGCCTCGTTAAGAAAACAGCAATTCGGTTTCCTCTTACCTCAGAATATATTCAGAAAAAAATCTGAATACTTTAGCAAAATAGTAATTGATATTTATGCTGTCATACATAAAGGGTCGTTCGAACAAACTTTCAACTTTCCCATCAGAGAATACAACATTTGTATCACTTGGAAAAGTATCATTTCTTTATAATTTAGAGCATGTCTTGAAATTATAACAAAAATTATTTAACTTGTAATATTAAAACACTTGTTTTATTCATGGTACAAATATGGTCCATTCTAGGACATAATAACCAACCAACCAACCAACCCCCATCCCCTATAAATATGCATTCATAGTGTGCAAAAGCTGTCATTAACCTTATTCTCTACAGTACACCATCTTATCTAAGTCAGAGTTTTGTTGTTTCTATTCGAGATTTTTGTTTGCATTCGTCTGGAAAACGACAATTTACAAGTAATTCTTCCTGTCCTGCCATCCTAGTCTTTACAACACTGTATGGACTATCCGCCTTTTCAAGGGTTTCACCACAGAGAGAATCCTCTTTAGTCAATAAACTATCGTTGTTGGATTTTTCGAACAGACTATTTGAAGAATTTGTAGTTCTTTCCCCATTACTATTTTGTTTATGCAAAAGAGGAAAATGGTTTTGAAATTTTGGAACTTCGTAGAAGGATGTGGAAATAACGAACAGTATTCAATCTCAACGTCCATTAAACAAATATACAAAATAAGAGCAGAGCAAACACGGACCTCCGAAACATCAGAGGTGGGATCAGGTGCCATGGAGGAGTGAGCATCCCCTTCCGACCGGTCACACCCGCCGTGTGCTCGTTGTCATAATCAGGAAATAACGGAAAAAATCCGTGGTCAATTCAGTGTATAAATAATGGACTAACAATTGGTATGAAAAACGTCAGTCAGCATTTCATTCAATGATAAATTGTATTTGCTGACAAGGTCATTGTATCGACCATAGATACAATTACGTCTATTAATAAAAAATCAGAACTGCTGGATTTCAGAATGGCACACCCCTAATTATTACATAATTCCTGTTGTAGCCAAAAAATATCAGAATCCGCATTGCTTTGTTCTTTATTGCATTGTAACATGTGAGAGTCACCATGGAAGGAGATTTTTTCATACAGGCTATGTGAAGGCAGATACATATCATCCGACGCATCTTTTGGTTTTCTTATAATCAAAGATGGGCTAGATCCAGCACTACTGCTGCTGTGTTGATCATGACCAATTTCATCATAGTCTTCTAATTTTTCTGAATGATTCACTGAAGTGTGTGTGTCTTCTGTACTTTCGTTGTTCTGTTTGATGGTATCACTTGTATGATTTATTTTAATAAATTGAAAATTGCATCAGTGATAATTTTGAAAATCATAATTCTTTTTTCTTGAAGCATTTTTTCCATTTTCTATAAATAATTGATATGCATGTTACATTTTTCTTATTTATGTTTTTTTTTCTTTTTTTTTTCTCTTACAATGACCAGAATAACTGTTTTAAGCGTTTTGCTTACCAATATTTATAGTCCAATGAGAATGAAATGTTAATTTACAAAAATATTCATATTTTAAATGACAAGAGTTGGATTGTTTACATCTGCATGTAGGAGAAAAGAGGTTGTTTAAGAGCTATTGATAAAAATATTAATTATAAGATACACAACTAATTTGACTTGAATAAAAATGCCCACCTAATCGATGGTTGCAAGTAAAATAAAACTCCCCCGATAACAATGATGCTATAAAAACAATTGAAAGTAAAAAACCTAACATTTAATGATCATTCTCGTTTGCAATCGTTGATGAGTCTGTTGTCGATGTAGATCTCCCGGTCCCTTGGTAAGTTTTCTCCGATGATGATTTCCCAGTCACGTGGAAAATCTTCCCTGCACTCACGCGGTTTGTTTTCTCTGATGTAGATCTTCCAGTCACGTGGTCAGTTTTCTCTGATGTAGATAATCCCAAATGGAATGTCATTTTGCTGGATTCTTTGAATTCAACATATAGTGGGCATTTTGTACTTTTAGATTCGGTTGTTCTTTGGACGTATTATTCTGTGAAGAACGCATATAGTGTTGTCTGTAAAGAAAATTCTGAAATAAAAGAAAACCTTTTTCATCAGAAATCATTTAAAATATTGTCAACAAGTGAACAGAATCATTAACATCAGTTAGAAAACTTATTAAGTTTGAAAATGACTGAAACGGCAGTGCGTCAACGTTTATAGCATCCTTGGTTTGGTTTACTTAATTGTCTATGAAATGAAGGATTTTAAGATTTTGTAGATTATTTGTGCTTTGTTGAAAACATTCCAAGCAGACTGTTTTTCAAAATAAATATTATTCATTGAAAGAGAAAACAATGGTTACTTTAAAACAAACGTAATATATATTTTATGTATATTTTATGTATATTTGTATATTAGTTCACCGTGATTTGACAATAGATAATTTTTTTAATTTTTTTTAGAACAATATTTCTTCGCTTGTTTGCTTCCTTTTTTGTGAAGATTCCATTCTCTTCGTTGTATTTGATTAAATTGCCCTAGTATCTTCGGTTACTTCTGTTATACGTTTTTTCACCTCTGTTGTATCTGTAAAGTCTTTAGAAGATGTTAAATGTGTATTTATTGCAGAAGGTTTGTTTTTGCGGTGGGCAATTTTTGTATCTCTAGTTTATTAGTCATTTTCAAATGAAGAAAAATATGGCATACATTGGGTTGCTTTAAGCTGATAAAATCTTCAAATTTGAATTAGCAAATTTGTTTTTATGATATAGAGAAAAAAATACTGGTATGACAAACACCTTTTGGACACCCATTTACATAATGGCATATGTACGCTTCACAACCGCAGGGACTAGTGCACAGACGGCCATAGAAACCTAATGTGCATCGTTGTGTGCAGTTCAAACCAAATCTTCCTAATGGACACTCTATATAAAATGAAAGAATAACACAATGAATCTGCAATGAAACAACTGTTCTAAAATGTGTTTAAAGATTCATAATACGCTTTTTTTTTTCAATATTGTTTCTGAAATGATTAAATTTTTGAAATATTTATGATAATTATAAATATTATGGAACTTTTGTTTGCGAAGACTGCCTGCTTACCTAAACAGCTGTCACTCTGTTTATCAAAATAATAATTGTAATCACATATGATATTTTCCCTAGAAGAGATATTATTATAATTGTAATCACATATGATATTGTCCCTACAAGAGATATTATTATAATTGTAATCACATATGAGATTGTTTCAACAAGAAATTTTATTATGATTGTAATCACATATGATATTGTCCCTAAAATGAGGTAAATTATTGACAGGCAAGATGATGAAACAAGAATATCGGCAGTCTCAATTAAAATCATCATTTCGTAAGTTCTATGGTCGATATAGTGACCTTGTCAGCAAATATAATTTATCATTGAGTCAAATGCTGACTGACGTTTTTCGTACCAATTGTTAGTCCATTATTTATACACTGAATTAACGATGGATTTTTCCGTTATTTCCTGATTATGACAAGGAGCACACGGCGGTTGTGACTGGTCAGCAGGGGATGCTTACTCCTCCATGTCACCTAATCCCACCTTTTTCTAAGGTCCATGTTTGCTCTGATCGTATTATGTATAGTTTAATGGACTTTGAGATTGAATACTGTTCGTTATCTCCATATCCTTCCCTGAAAGATATAAACATTTTAAACCATATGCAGTTCTAAGAAACTCACGCACAAAAAGACTGAAAGGAATACGTGTAGTCTTACCACTTTAAAGCAGCCGCTGTTCCACAGTTATTTGAAAGTAGAGATATTACAAAGCACAATTTTATAACAGCTACATTATACATCATTTATTTCATTTCTGAGAGAAAAAATATAAATAAAAATAAAAAAAATACGACGATTGTAACCTGACTGAGAAATAGGAAAAAGATTGTTAAATGCATCGAAATATTTTTTTATGAATGTGCAGTAATCTTTCACTTGTATTTCATTATTTACAGATTAAACTACGCTTCAACAAACAATATACATGTAAATTGTATTTAGATTAAATTCAATGTAGATTTCATGTTTAAGAATAAAGAATCATGTGTTTTCTTAGGATACCAACTCCTTCCTGGCATTTGATATCACCTCTGGTATTACAGGCATGATGATTTCAGTTGATTTGTGTGTTTGATCAATGGTCTATTACTGTTAACATAATTTACGGATTCAAACTGATAAGAAGCAATTTTCAAAGTGTGTGTCATTACGCCGATAGAAATAGCTTTGCTAGAAAACATGAATTTGCTCTTTTCAAAAACTTTTCAGCTCGATATGTAAACAAATTGCCCTCTTCCTTTTATACTTGTTACGTCCTTGTTATCATATAAGAGGAAGATACGAGACAAACCGTATTTTATATATATTAAAACCGTGCACATTGAGTGAAGTTTAATACAATTTAGATATATTTATTATTTTAAGCGTACCAGATATCATACTATCTGAAACATAATCCTCCTTCGTGTTCATGTTCATTATTTCAGTAGATTTATGGGTTTGACCATTGTTTATGTCCGTTACTGTTAATATAATTCAAACTGATAAGACATGATTTTCAAAGTGTGTGTCATTACGCAGATAAAAATAGCTTTGCTAGAAAACATAAATTTCCTCTTTTCAAATACTGAGTTTTCAGCTCGATATGTAAACAAATTGCCCTCTTCCTTTTATACTTGTTACGTCCTTGTTATCATATAAGGGGAAGATACGAGACAAAAAAAATTATAAATATATGATTTCCGTGCACAATGAGTGAAGTTAAATACAATATAGAGAAATTCATTAAAATAAGAAATAAGAAATAAAAAATAAGAAATAAAAATTCGAAACAAAAGGAAACATCATTATAAGTTCTAACTATGGCAAGCTCTTTCGCAATTTATTCGAAAATGAAATTTATTATAAATTACAGAGATATATCTCATTTTAGATAGATTTCTTTCTAAAAAATAGAGATATCTCCCAAATAAAAGAGGTATTGATTTTAAGACATATCTTTTTGAGAAAGAGATAACTCTAAATCTTAGATATCTCTAGCTTTTATAAGAGAAATATCTTCCACTTGAACAGATATCTCTTTCTCAATGAGAAATATTTCTTTCACGAAATGAGATACCTCTTTCACTTTAATAAAATATGCCTCAGGGACAAGTGTGTGACTTGGAGACTTAAAATTCACACAAAACTCAAAACAATACTTAAGTATCTAGTAGATTAAAAAAAAACAGATTTTAAAACAAAATTATATTTATTACAAGTTTTCGAAGGGGCTTTTTCGCTTCCTATATAAAAAACATATTTTTACAAGTAAATGCATCAATTGATTATCTTATTTGTGTTACTAAACACGAAGGGGAAATACCGAGCATAAGAATTTAATCAGGTTAGAACTAAGAAGGAGGGTAAATTTCACTTTTTATTTTAATTGGAAATTTTAAATATTTGCTGTTAAACGGTGTCAGCAAATAAACAGTAAATAAGTTTAACATTGGAGCTAAATTTTAAAACCACTGGATTCTAATAAGAGCAAACAAACACGTAGGAAAGGCTATAAACTGCCTAAATTGTAAACTGCAAGATACCTCGGGCCTGCTTTAAACAAGTTTTTTCAGTGATCTATCGTTCCTAAAAGCGAACCCAAGCGGCACTTGAAAGGCCTATTGTTTATTTATTAGGTAGAATAAACAATTGCGTTAATTGTCAGAAGGTGCGCGTTTTGAATGCCAATGGTTTTAGAATAATTTTGTGATTTAAACTTATCACAAGTTCCTACGTCTAAGTAACCCTTGTACTTAAGTCTAAGATTTAAGATTCTCATTATATGAACGTCAGAAATTCATATTAGGTAACAGAAATAATTTTGGGAAAGCTTACTTATCTTCAAAACTCGATCTCACCTGTGGAATTTGGTTGCGTCCATGTTAAGTGTCCTGTATTGTTTGTTGAGATTTTGATGTCGATCACTATTTTTTTCCTCACCTGTTTTATATTACATACACTTAACAAAAGTTCTAAGTGTTCATTTTAATAAATGTATTTATTTAAACAACTTTATAGAATGATGCAACATTTTCAATTTATTACAACAAATAAGTCTTCTCAACAGTTGTAGAAAGAAAATCAAACATAACAGATGAAAACCAATGTTCCGTGACGGAGCTTATAAACAATAAATTTGTACATTGCCGCACGCGTTTTTCTGTAATTAGCATCTTTAATTATCAAATTATAAAAACTGGTTTCACTAAAAACACAAAATATTTTCAAAATGACCATTGTGATAGAAGAAGAATATGGAGATAACGAACAGTATTCAATCCCAGAGTCAATAAAACAATACAAAACAGGAGCAGAGCAAATACGGACCTCCGAAACATCAGATGTGGGATCAGGTGCCACGGAGGAGTGAGCATCCCCTGCTGACCGGTCACACCCGCCGTGTGCTCCTTGTCATGATCAGGTAATAACGGAAAAATCCCTTGTAAATCAGTGTATAAATAATGGACTAACAATTAGTATGAAAAACGTCAGTCAGCATTTGAATCAATGATAAGCTATATTTGCTGACAAGGTCATTGTATCACCACAGAACGTACGAAATAATGACTTCAAAGGAGTCTGCTGATATTCCAGTTTCATCAACTTGCTTGTCAATAATAACCTCGTTTTAGAAATGTTCATACGTAAACCAAGCTCTTGTGTATCGAATCAACTGAGATATATACAAAGCGTATGCAGGTGATGAAGGTATATTGCTGCATAAGTAAGGAAAATTTACGATAGAAAAGTTCAAGTCATCACATTTATCATATAGCTTGATTGTAAGATTACTATAAGGTCTTTTTCAAGTAACAGATCTAAGTATGAAACCGATGTGTCAGACTCTTTTGTATCTTTTTTTAATGCCCGTTCGTGTATTAAATGCAGTTTTAATAGAAATTTATTCATATCAAATGTAAATATAAGTAATAAACAACAACGTTAAAAAATTTACTGGGAAATAAACCTTTAGCTGGTACGTGAACCCTAAGAGCATCACAGGATTTGATATCAGTCCAGTACAGATGACTTCAAATTCAGATTCGAGAGCAGAGCAAACAAACGCCTCGTTATCATTAGAGATTAAACCAGATGCCATGGATGATACACATCTCCTGCCAGCTGTTCACATAGGCCGTATGCTCCAATTCATGCATAAATGGGCAGAGGGAAAATCGGTATTTATACAATGCTCTAACAGCTTAAAAAAAGCCAAGTCAGCATTCAACTGATGATATATTATATTTGCTAAAAATGTCATTCTTTTGACCAAATGTTAAAAAATGTTTGTGTGAAGAACATGCTTAGTTATATCGTGTTATCTGTGAGATAAAATTAAATATACAGATGATTATGGCATATAACAACATATGAAGGAAATTTGACGAATGAAACATTGAGGTCCTCACGATTATCATACAGTTTTGTTGCTGAACAACTATTAACGTTTTCTGTTTTCTGGTAATATATCAATGTGAGCGATGTCACAATTAAACATCTCTACTGTTAATTGCAACCTTAATCTAAATATAAAACTTTACCCGAGATTGGTGATTTCTCATGCTCTCAAGGGAAGTTCACCAAATATCAATAAATCAGAATTTATATTTTATAGGATTTCAGAATAAGAATAGTTATAAATGGTGCAGTGTTCAGAGAGAATGACTTCCAGACAATACCAAGGAGACCAATATTTGAGCCACGTATTTTAAGTCATATTATGTCCATTAATATATGCTAGTTTTTTCATGTCGGACATTCAAAGCATCAGATTAGAGAGAGTTTGTATATTGTTCAAGATTTTGTGGTGTACTGTAGTCGGACTGTCTGCCGTTCCTTTGTGGTGTACTATAGTCAGATTGTCTGCCGTTCCTTTGTGGCGTACTAAAGACGGACGTTCGCCCACTCCTAACCCAACGTTCCCGGTGTGACAGTGGAGTATATCCTCGGTCTAATGTTCCGGTAAGATGAAGAGTATTCATGTTGTGTGTGCACACCTTCTTTAATCCTGCTCAGAAATATAAACAGAAATGTTATATAATCTTCAAATAGTACAATTAAGATTTTAGAATTAGTCCCCAGATTTCATGTACTTTTTTATCGTTTAGTACAAAAGATTTACGATATGTGAAGAACTTTCTCCAGCTAATGGGATACGCAAAGATCTCAAAAGTCGTATTAGCAATATAGATTGTCTTTTGAGTTATCTTATGTGTCATTAATGACTTTATAAATTTGGTATATTTTTGGCATACATATGTGTTTTTGATTAACGTAAAACGTACCGATAGGAAATTCCGTTCTTCTGGTACGCTTCATTGTGTAATACCTTAAAAATGAGAGCAATTTTTCAATAATACTTAATAATCATTTTCCTTTAATAATGTTTATCAATTCACGCCTACAAATAATTTTGTAGTCTTGTAATTATGAAATATAAATAGATTATATAAATAGCATAATAAGCTATAACATTTAAAACAAATTATTTGTTTGCTTTCTTAAAAAAGAATACATGATCTAAAAAAATAACTTTTTTTCGCATAATTTCTTTCTCCATTTAAAAAAAATAAAGAGATAAAAACAACTATTTGAACATACATTAGTAGAGGAATTAGAATGACGACACAGCCAACTATCATAAACAAGGAGATGGTTATCAACCGTAGATGACTAGATATCTGCTGTAACTCCTTTTCATTGTATTCTCTATTCACAGTATAACCTAAATACATATCAATGAGTTAACATTTACAACGATTTGTTCTTTTTTTGTCTGCAAATTAAATATGTTGTCTTTATTATAAACGGATGAAAACATTATCAGCAATTAAAATCTACAGTTTAATTGAAGAAAGAACAAAAATATTTTCTTTTGAGTTTTATATGCTAGATATTGATATAATAATGAAATTTCAACAAAAATTATGGTTTCAAAAAATAATTTTGTTTCCGTATTGCAGATTTTTGTCAGTGAAATTTGTTAATACGTACGTTGAGGATTTTCTTCTGAAACATGTGGCCAAGACGTTACTCTCATGGATAAGATTAGAACTTTTGAATCTGTCAGAGGAATACGACATAAAATTATATGATTTCACGTATACTTAACTTAAAGGAGTGACAATAATACAAAAGAGACAGACAGTCAGACAAACAGACAGACCTGTGCTTGTGTTTGCTCGTAGTTTGCTTCTTTCAATGATTGTTTTATGCTTCTCTGTTACTGATGACATATTGGTATTTTCTAGTGTTGTTCAAAGAAAAAAGTTTTAATATAATTTTGTAGAGACAAATCTCATGTATTGAAAATATAAACTAAATAATTGTGTGTTAAACGATATTAAATTTTAGGGTTATATTTACCATGCTTATGATCTGTTGCCCCTTTCTCCAAAGATCTGTGAATTCAAAACGTGTATGTTATGTTCTAATATAGCAATTAGTTTAAAACGTTGTACTGTTATTGTTATGTTTTTTAACTATATATTTTGTAACTTTTAATTCTTTAAAACAATAATAAATTATACATCTCCATAGTCGATGATTCTACGGTTGACTTGTCTTTTGTAGACAAACGCATTCCATGCTTTCTTGTTGAATAAGGTGAAATAGAGTGACTGATTCTCTCCAAATTGTACTCTTTGGGGGCTAAAAGTAAGAGGTGCATACATATTTCAAGTAATTGGTGTAGTTAAAAAAATAACGACAATAGTACAGTCAGGATATGTAATGGTTATAAGCCGAAAACTGTCCATTATGTCAGATATTAGACGACCCGAGGCGCGTTAGCGCCGAGGAGAGTCTAATATCTATTATAATGGTCAGTTTGAGGCTTATAACTTACTTAAAACATTTCACCACTATCGAACACTTCCATTGTTAACTTATTGGACAGCCACGGGTAAAGTCTCGTTCTGCTTGGATGACTACCTGGCACTGTTCATCAAGTTAGGCCAAAGAAAACCAGTTTTGGGTTTTCTTCTGTCTTTATTAATAGTTGGAATCATCAAGAGGTGTTTTATATCGATAAATATGAACATTAACTTTGTTTAGTCTTATTTCTGTGCATTGCGACATTTTTTTATATAATTATACTGCGCATGCGTAAAAGTCAGTTCTACTAAATTCTTTACAATTTATTCATTTTACAATGCAACGACCACGGATGAAGACGTACATTTAATTCGAAAAAAAGACAGATTCCGTTGGAATTTCGTGAGCTAAATTTTGTGCTAAATGCGGAAAAAGGGATATTTCAATAAACAAAAAGCCCAAGGTTGTGTGTAAGAAAACGCATGCCTCTCATTCATCTTTTGTGTCTATTGGATTGTATATATGTTCCGTGGATCAATCATTGTGAAACGAATCTATTATATAGCAAAGAACGGTGAATTTAGGAAATTTATGATCGGAGCCACGGATGCGTTTACAATAATATATCTGAGACATTCAATTCACTGGATTATTTGTGCTATTTTCAATAGGATTTTTTGTGAAATATTAACATATAACGCTATTAATTTTCTACATTGTTCATATTAAATTGTTTGATTTATCATTGCCGTTTACCTGGTGTTTACTTATTTGCCTCGCCCTTTGTTCTCGTTTTAACGTTACCTGTACCTGTCAAATAAGTTATTATTATTATTATTATTATAAAATTTGTATAGCGCTAAATATAATTAAAATTACTCTAAAACGCTTAAACATTAAACATGTTAAAAATAAAGATAAAAATTTACAATATTTAGAACATGATTAAAAATCTAACAATAGACGTATAGTTATAAAAGTAATGAAACAATTATAAAAATTATTTAAAAATTAGCCCCTAAAATCATGAAAGTATGCACAATTATGTACACGTATTAAATGAAGATAAATAGACACAAATAATGAAATAGTATTACAAAATAAAGAGAGTCCATAAAATGTGCTAGACAGGAACATAAAAAATTACAATAATATTTATAAGTTAATGATAAAAAGCCATTTTAAAGAGATGAGTCTTTAGACACTTTTTTAAAACTGTTAAGATTTTGTTCATGTCTCATAACTAATGGGAGGCTGTTCCAGAGTGCAGCGGCGCTAACATCAAAACGATGATTTCCATATGACTTGGTTCGAGCACGAGGTTGAACTAAACACCTGGAATTCTCTGATCGCAATGATCTCGCAGGGAAATACAAATTGACGAGGTCCTCTATATATAACGGTGACATCCCTTGTAGTGCTTTAAATACTGTTATTAATATTTTATACTGGATACGAAATTCCACTGGCAACCAATGCAAAGAAATCAGAACTGGGGTGATGTGATCTTGTTTCTTGGTCCTAGTTATTATTCTCGCCGCTGTATTTTGAATTCTTTGTAGTCTTGATAGGGAGCCCGAGCTCAACCCGTATAGCAATGCGTTGCCATAATCCAATCTAGAGGTGACGAGTGAGCACACTAAGGTCTTGCAGGCGCTTTCTGTAATATATTTACGTATCCGACCAATATTACGCAGCTGAAAGAAGCACTGTTTAGAAACAGAACTTATCTGGTCGTCCATACTTAGTGACCAATCAAAACATACACCTAAGTTTCTAACACAGGACGATACATTTATAATTTGACCATCAAAATTCAAATTGTAATTTGCGAAATCACGGCATCTGTTTTTTGGTGTAAAGACAATAAGTTCCGTTTTGTCTTGATTTAATTTAATAAGCAAGTTAGTTTTCATCCATGCACTGATGTCTGACATGCATTTTTCTAACTGTGCCGCTATGGCATCCCAGGTCGCTGTTGGTTTGATGATCATATATACCTGAGTATCATCAGCGTAGCTATGAAAGGACATTCCATGTCTGCGACAGATCTCACCTATGGGTTTTGAAAACATGCAGTAAAGCTTAGGACCTAAGACAGACCCTTGTGGAACTCCGAACTTTAGCTGAAAATTAGATGACATGGATGAATGAACCGCGACTCGTTGACATCTGTTGTTTAAGTAAGATTCCATCCAAAGCAGAGCGTCACCACAGATGCCATAGGAAAATTTAAGACGATTAAGAAGGATAGAATGATCTATCACGTCAAAAGCCGCTGACAAATCCAACATCAGAAGAACCGCACATGAGTTGGAATCTAATGCTGCTACGATATCGTGATGCACCTTCAGGAGGGCTGTCTCTGTAGAATGGTGTACTCGGTATGCAGATTGGTAAGTATCCTGTAGATTGTTCGACACAAGATGATGTTCTATTCGTGCACTAACCACTTTTTCAAGAATCTTTGAGATGAAAGGAAGGTTGGAAACCGGGCGGTAGTTGAATCTTATTGGACACCTACAGGTAACTTATTGGACGGGGTGCAGGACAATAACAAATTTATTGAACCAGGTTTAACAAAAGATGACGTCACAAAAATGTTTTAACATAGATTACATTAAGGAATGTATCTCCATGTATTTTATGTGGGTACACAAAATAATGAATTTCTTTCGAACAGTATAATATTAAGAACAAGAAGAATACCTAAGAGTGCAGTGCCTCCATTAGAGGTTGTTGACAAGCATCCAAACACTGGGTCACAATAAATAGATTTACACGTGCAGGCCAATCGACACAAATGTCCATAATATCCCTCTTTACAAGGTTCTTTACATCCCCAGCCTATTTTCCCGGGACTGCATTCTAAATACGATTAAAATTCCTCGTAGAAAACAAATGACATGGACGATATAATCATGTAATTCAATGAGAATCTTTTTTCCTGCAGATTTAAGCTGAAATTTTATTTTCAATATGTCTTCAGCTAATACAAGTTAGGATTAATTCAAATTCTGACTTTGGTTTTCATACTAATTGTTAGGCCTTATTTACATTCAGAATTGTCGATGGATTTTTTAATTAGTTCCCGACAACGAGAAGAAGCGCACGGCGTATGAGACCGCCCGGATAGATATGCTTACTTTTCCATGGCATCTGATCCCTCCTCTGTCCATGTTTGCTCTGCCCCAAAACTTGTATTGTTTGAGTGGATTTTGAGATAGAATATTGTACATCATCTTTCTAAAGTAGAATATTGTTCTTTATTTTTCTATATTCCATGCATAAACCTTACCTCTACAAGTTTTGTTCTCCACGTCAAAATATTCATTATAGCAACAAGGGACACCATCCGGTCTAAAATGTAAATTCAAATAAGTTGACACGAAAATATAAGAGTATCAAGGAACATAAAAGAACATATTCTCTCAATGTAAACCATTTTAAGAAATTTTATCTGTCGAGTAATTATTCGACTTTAGAAATACGTTTTTCCACATATCTCATGGTTGAGCTGCGTTTTAATAATTCAAACTACTTTATTTGTAAAATAAGATTTGACATGAAGATATATAAACAAAAATATGATCCTTTACCTTCGACATCCACTGCTTAAGGCTAGTATATTAGTAAAAAAGGTTAAAGGCACAAAAAAGATCAAATGGATCAGCATCATTTTAACTTTAACAAAGCAAACATATTCAGCCGAAAGTCAGGCATAATACACATAATTGTATTAAATTATTACAGGGAAATATCCTTTTGAATTTTCACAAATCAATACATCTAAATTAACCACCACTTTAGTTTCATAGTTATGGACAGAGTAGGTTCAGAAAGCCTGTCGAATTTTAAAAAAAACATAATGAAGGCTTTATTAGAATAAAACAAGGACATTGAAAAGGATTTCTTTTCCTGATAAGGGAAAACCAATTCTTTAAATGGCACAATGGATCATAAAATGATACAAGTAAAGATTCTGAAGACAGTTGTTGTAAATGACCAATACCAATGTCAAGACCAGGTAGATACATTCATACTTTGATATACTTTCATTCACTGTTTCAAAAGTTACATACAAAAGGAAAAAAGTAGTCGTACATACTGACAGTTTCCCCCGGTGAAATACAAAAATGAAAGCTGAAATAAGAACCTATATCAAAGTGATATGAGGTATTTTTGATATACGTGCAAAAGTAATGTTAAATAAAATTTATCAGATTTATGGAGATTATGCCGTTTCATTAAGCACACTTTTTTTGTTGAGCGTAAAGGTTTAAAGATTAGTCAAGGCCAGAGCGACCAAAGACAACTGCTTCTGATGGAAATGTGGCTGTAATTACAAAAATGGTAGACATCGAAAGGGAACAAAATTTTGACCACCCCAACCTTGCTACGCAATTTGTATACAGGGATTACCGCATCAATTGACATCAGAACAAAAGTCGACGCTTTTGAAATTTGCCTGAAAACTTTCAAAATGTATTTTTAAAACTCTGACCGGAGAAAGTTAGCGTGACTTGCTAAAGGGAAATGGATCTTTCTTGAACCACAAAGAAAAATTACAAATATAAGATGGGTTTGAACGAATGGTATCCTGTCATTGAACAAAAATGTCGAAAAACATTTTTTGCTTATTTTTAATTCTTTTGAGACCAGATCTGCAAATAATAACTCCGCAAGATCGAGGTATCTAGGGTCATTTCAAAAAACTAATAAACTAAAGAAAGTAATATTTGAAAATACAAAATTCAGATTTGAAATCAGTCGAACTAAAATTAGATGTTCCGATTCTGCTACCGCTTCTCACAATTATTTGATCATATCAATTTTCTTGAGCAGATTTTGTCTCTATTATTTATTTTTGTAAACTTTCATTCTTGTATAATCCCTAGTGTAGTGCTTGAACCAACCCTTATGCAATGATATGATATGCATTTATGTGTAATGAAGGTTTCACTTTTAAAACAAGTGAACATAAAGATCATGGATCAGTCTAATTTTTGTAACAATACAGACATGTGATGGCCTAAAACACGGGCCCCTTGAAATCCCAGAGGACGGATCAGGTGCTTAGGAGGAGTAAGCATCCCCTGATGACCGGTTACGAGCGCCTCGGACACTATCAGGTAGATAGGGACATTCCTTTGTCAAGTTCAATATTAGAAACAACAAACAATGCTATGAAAATAGGTATCAACTTTACGCCTCAGTAAAAGTTTTATTTGCTAATAAGGTCATTATAGCCACCACAGACTTTGCGCTCATGATGACTTTAAACAAGATTGATTAGATCCCAGTAAAATCAGCTTGTGTGTTAACAACCTGTCTTGGTTAGAAAGGTGTAAGTACTCAATGCGTTTTTTTTATTGTATCCAATTATTTTTTTTCAATCTTTGTCAAGAAACAACGAGGAAAATAATAGTCTAAAATTAAACTTCCTCCATTGCAATAGCTGTTAAGGGGGTGAAGGGGGAACTTCGGGTTTCGGAGTGAAATATACAAACAAGTTTATCTGAAAATAAAGCATGAAATGATAAAAGATTATGTACTGCAAAGTAAAGACGACCCTCTACATGTGATGAAAAGGAATATGTTTAAAAGCAAGAAGAACAAACAAGAACCATTGCTCTGTAACTAAGTATCATTTCATTACCGATATAGTATAATTGTGTTGTGTTCTTCATTTGGTTATACGCATATGACTTGAATAAGAGCAATTACTTCCGATATTATTTTGTTTATATTAATATAAATATTTTGTATATGAGTGTGTTTTTAATGTAGTTATTCTTGACATGTACATAAGGATGCTAATAATGAAATGTTATTTTCTTAACATCATTTTTCCAATGAATGGCAATCATGACTTAACCTTTATAATATGAATCTCTAGATTTTTTGTCTACTCCCCAAATATTGGAATTTTTCTCATGAGTAATAATGTGAAGTAATAATTCTCAGTTATAAATATCCATAATAATTGGGAGTTTTCCTCACATTGCATTTTATATTTGTTTGCAGGGAAGTTTGTTCCAGGAAATTTTCATTCCCTAAGTGATTTACTATAATTTTCCTGTATCTATACACAATGGGCCAAATAATTAAATAGATGTTATTAAGCTTTAACATGTTAATGTGAAGTGTTTTACTTCAATTTATGCTGTTTACTGTGATGAAATTAAGCAATATGATTCTAAATATAGTCTGACTCACTCCCATTATAAAGTTAAAAACATTGAAAGTAAGTGATTGTATACTAACAAATATGCTATTAATATGAATAAATATGGGATACAGTCAACATCAGTATGGAGGAATATTTGGGACGACCCACTACCCTGTTTATTCTAAGAGAAAGACACGCAACTTTTTTAATTTGAAACTAAAAAGAACCACACACATTTGTAAACAGTGCATAAAAACAGAGAACAGATTTTGGAACTGGGTCCGGGCCATAAAAACTCAAAAAAGAATTCACCCTTAAGCTCAGTCTTTAATGAAACATGGAAATAACGAATATTTGTCAAGGTCAATAAAACAGCATAAAATAGGAGCAGAGCAAAAACGTACCTCCAAAACATCAAAGATGGAATCAGGTGCAATGGAGGAGTGAGCATCCCCTGCGACCGGTCACACCATCCGTGTGCTCTCTGTAGTAATTTTAATAGACATTAACAGAAATAGAATAGTAGTTACACGAGAATGAGATCAAAAGTGAGTTCCTCTAAGTGTTATGATCGTGGAGCCAAGTGCTTGTAGAAGAAAGCATCCTCTGTTCATCGTTCACATCAGCCGCCATATACTATAGTAATTTATATTAAAACAAGTAAATGGGACGTCTGAATTGAACATATTTTATTGACAATTAAAGCCAAAAGGATAAGACACAAGTTCTGACAACTTAGATAGTCTTCTTCTTATACAAAATTTTATAACATTACCAAAATAAAGAACAACAGTTTTCAGTAACAAATCAATTAGTCAGTAGTGCTGTAAACTCTTGATACCATAATACATTTCTATATATACAAAAAAAATTAAGATTTTTCAGAGAATCTACCACATACTTTTAAAAAGGTATGAATACATTTTGTTGATCAGATAATGATTCAACACCCCATAGCATCAAATGGACATCTATAATGTACAAATTGTTGAATGATAATAAATTATTCATTAGGGAATATCTTGCTGCTGCATATTTTCTACAAACAAAAAACAAATGATAGGGATCCTCTATTTGTCCACATGAGCAATTCGGACTGCAAATTAAATTACAGCGAAATAGGTCAGAATTTAAAATACAATTATGTCTTAACCTTGTGTGAATAATATTCCAAAATCTCTTTCCAAAAGAAAAATACTTTCGAGGTTTTACAATATTGCTTGAGAAACATTTTTTAAAACTTTTCATGGAAGTTGCCTCCTTTATGTTGAGTTCAATTCCATTCCACTTTCTAATAGTATCTGGAATAAAGGATTCATTTAATAATTCTAATCTGCATTTTGGCAAAGAATAATTGGAAGAATTTCTAGTAGAATATTGTGAAATAGACGTCTTGTATTCACTTTTGTTTAGAAACAAAGGCTTCATAATCAGTATAAATGAAATCAATCTAAAAGCAATCTTATAAAAAGCTATATTTGCTAGTAAAGTCATTAAAACGACTATAGAATATTTGAAATACCAATTTTAAACGAGACAACATTAATGGATTATGACAAAATTAATTTCTTTGACAACATCAATACGTTATCAATTCCCTAAATCTAGTTTTCTTTATTAATATTTTATTCGTTTTTTATTCATCTGTTTGACACCATTTGTTTTCATATATTGAAATTATGAATCATTTATAGTTCTTACGTTTTAGTATCGTTGGCTTTTGATTTTGTCATTTTTTGTGAGAATGGAAATAGTATAGTTATACAGATATCATTGATAATCAATCCAGTAAAAAGGCTGTTCGAGGGCAGTCAAAATCTACAGACCACTGGAAATAACAGAGGTAGTATTATGTGACTAGAGGAGGTACACATCCACTGTTGAACGTGTAACCCCGCCATGAGCTTTAAATGTTAGCCTAGGTTAATTAGGTTTTGAAATTAATGATCATACAAACAATGTAAAATAAGCAGTTTGGATTTAAAAGCAAAACTATTCTAATGAAAAACGTAAAATGTGAATATATCAAACATTGAGCGATCTCATTAAATCTATATATAAGCAAAACAAATATGAGAATAGGGCATACAACACGGATCACTGGGATCGAGTGCCTAGGAGGACTAAACATCCTCTGTTGACCGGTCACACCCGCCGTAAGAATTATGTATAGAAAAAAGAAAGAAATAAGGTTATTTTTTGCTAACAAGGTCACTAAAGAATAGAATTTACGAAATGCCGACTTAATTTAAAGATGATTTTAATGGGCAAATGTACAAATAAGTCTTATAAAAAAAAAAAAAAACATAATGCAGTAGACATAATGAAATTGCTTGATAACATCCATTTTCACGCAGGAGTTTGCATGGTAATACAGAATATAATTTACTTTTCATATACTTCAGAAAGTAAACTTCCATTGACCCTCGATAAGTTTTCTATATGTATTCCTTTTTCACGTACTAAAATTACTTTTGATTTGGTGCTCTTTCTGTCATTTTGCTTTAGTTAATTGAAAATTCCTTCCTTGTTAATCTTGTTCATCCGGCTGTGACCGGATCAATATTACTGTATATTATGACGCAAAGGAAATATATTTATATAATAAGCTCAAAAATGTTTTTCAAATATTTCACAACCGCAAAAAGTATTTTATAGACAAAAGTCGCATGTACTCTTTGTTCATTATTTTCTAAATTAATAGCATATATAATTTTTCATTACCATAAATTAATGTTAAAGCCTACTAAAACTTTTACTTTACTTTTTTTCTTTGTATCAAAGCACTCATCAAAAACAAAAAGGAAACAGGAAAGTTGAAGGGTTTTTTCTTCCTTTATAAATGGTTTGTAACACTTAATGATCAATTAAATATATATTTAATTTAAAAAGAGAAAATTTGTACAAGGGGTGATCAAAAAGTACGCGAACTATCTCTACATGTACAAAACCACAATTCAGATTAGGAAAAAAAATGGTACACACAAAGCCATACAAAAGTTCTATAAACAGCATATGCTTAATAAAATTTTGCTCCTTGTTTGTGACGTCACAATGTGAAAATGACGTCACTATGTAGGTCACTCGTGACGAAAAATGGTTTATCTCAGTCGTCCTTGTAAAATTAATCGATATGTCTTAAAAATCCCTTTGAAGTAGCATATAATAATTTGTACACAGCTTATTAAGACAAATGAATTTCTATAAATTTAATAAATGATTGGAGTGATTGTTTTAGTAAAGGAAGGCAGATGGTTAAAAATGACACTTGTTATGTTGCCTAGTGAAAGCAAATTTCAAAAGAATTGTGTTTTTAATTACGCAATTTGCTATCAAAGACGTCTAATTTACACATTGAAAAATAGTTGAATATTTTAATAATAAGATAAATATCAAATACTTAAGATATAGTTTAGATTTTAAACATATTAATCATGATAAGAAGGAGGAACCCATTCTCTATCTACCTTGATTAAACGTCTAGAGCTCCAGAAACAGAAGATTTGGGTTTTAATGGTCGCCATGCTTGTTTTTGGAAAGAATATTTTTATCCATAATTTCTGTTACCTATTTGACCGTTTCTGACAAACGGAATATTCCTGTTATAAAAATTAACTTACATGGAAAGAAATATAAAATTCAGAAAAATATTTCAGCTTTTATGGCAGAACGCTGTCAGAGGGGGTCACATGACCGCCTATATCACGTGATTCGCGCATGATCAGAACGATGGCAAATGTGCATTAAATCCGGAGAGGACTAATTTAAAATATAATTAACACTGATACCAAATATTGTTTCTTTTAGGGAAGTTATTTAATTAGTTCTCAAACTTTTTGATCACCCCTCGTAGAAAAGTGACTCTTTGAACTAAAAGTTAAAGTATCTAAGCTTAAAAGGTCAAAAGTCGATAATCAACGCATTTTACAGAAATCCTCTTTTATGTACTTGGGCTATGAACACTATAAAACGCGTTGACTTTTTTCCCAGGAACTCGTTGACCATTCCAATGCTTCACTCTGTCTTCTGGAACCTTGTGTTATCATATTCAACATCATGGTCACTATCAAAAATGTCCTAATTTTCCGACAAATTCTGACTTATATCTATTTCCTCTGTGATTTCGAATGTTTTAGCTAAGCTGTACCGATATTGGGGCTTCTTAACACTAGGGTTTCTTCTTTCCCGACCTGATTCATTTTGCTTATCGTGAATACTGTCTAGTGATAATTCTTTAATTTCAGTACTGATTTCTATCATTTGTTTTGGGTTCCTGTTTCTTCCTGAATCTTCATCTCTGAAGGTTAGTGAAACTTCGTTTCTTTTCAGGATTTTCTTTGATCGACGTGGAGTGTATTTTCCTTGTTTTACAGATCCTGCTATGACATTTCTTTGCTTCCGTTCTGCAATAAGAGAGATATATAATTGAAGGATTCTAGGGGCAAACGATTTGGTTTATAGTATGCTGAATTTCTTAGTTTATTTGTTTTTCATTGTATCATTTCTGTAAAGAATAATATACCTGAAATCAATGGCATGTCTTCTCTTTTTCGACTGAAAAAGTTAAATAGATATCAATGTTGAACATAACATATTTCAATTGTTTTAATTGCCCTTAAGTGCGATTTTTGAAACTCAGCATATCATCAATGGAAAGAAACAATGCAACTTACCAAATATGAAAGTAGAAGAGAAATGTAATACATCCAAAGGACAAAATCATAAGCAAGGAAGAAACAATGACTAGAGCCCAGGAATTATTTCTTAGAAATCTCTCCAAAACACCGTCAGCTACAAAACATGTTGCGTAACCGTTTCTATCTACTCCAATTAAACATATGAAGATAACGAACAGTATATATCTAAGCTTAAAAGTAAAAAAAAATGTAAAATAGGAGCAAACATGGACCTCCAAAGCAACAGAGGTGGAATCATGTGCCATGGACGAGAGGGCCGATCGGTCACACCCGCCGTGTTCCCCTCTTCATGATTGTTTAGAGTATTATGTACAAACAATTATCGTAAAGACAGAAAGTCATTTAAGATACCTCTTCTTCTTGATAAGGTGAAAGAAACTTACAGACAGGGGTCAGACTGCTACATTGTCCAGTGACTTTATCACAGGTAAGCTTACAAGACGTAGGGCACTTTGATCTACACAGATGTCCAAAGTAACCTCTTAGGCAAGATTGGCTGCAGTTAATTCCATATGTACCATTTTCACAAACTTTTAATTGAACATAACGAATGATTTAATGTATCATATTTTATTAATGAACAAGTAAGGTCATTATTATTTATTAAATTGTAAAATTCGCATAAAAAGTGAATTTGTGAATTTTTACGATATTGACTTTTTTCTCTTTTGTATTTCTTTCCGTTCCATACTATACCTCTACATAAGCCATCTTTCATGCGGTAGCCTTGACAACACGTGCTGGGTCTGAGAAAAAAAAAGTCAAATACGTCTCGATCAAATTAATATAAAAAACAAAGTTAACTAATATACTTTTCATTTTTTAAAAACTTAACATCAAAATTAACAATATTAAGGTGTCAACAATACTAGTACTGAATGTTTCATGTTTCCAGACAAGCATTAGACATGACGCGAAATTGTCATACAATGAATAGGGGATATGTTTATAATAATTGTGACACTTACCCACACTGGTTCTTATCAGGGGCTGTCTGACAAAAAATTAAACTCAATGTTTGAGAAAAACACACAAAATCCACAGCGTTTGGAAACCTCATTGTTTCTATTTCTGTCATGCCTGTTTCGATTCTTGGTAACAAAGTTGATTCGAGGAAAATAATAAATTAGAATTTTTTCCCTTTAGACCTTTATTAAAGTATTCAAGCTATTTAGAAAAATCACACTTCCTGATACAAATTAAAATTCTAAATGGAATCAGAAGCGGTTCTGTTTTTACGAACGATTGGAAACAGACTAAGTATGGGAGTGCGCAATACACAAAATATGTATGATACAACACTTTAAATTAAAATCTATACTTATAAATTAACAAATTTTGCAAATAAACTCCGAAACGGCTAGACAAGAGTCCTTCCTTAAGCTTGTAGGAATATACTAGGTTTAAGGTGATGTCCGTAAAACTTATTCAGATTTCACTCGCATATTAATAATCGTAAGGAATGAGTGCACTTAGGTACGTCATTTGGAACCTTTTCGGCTACCCATTTTAAGCTTAACATTACAATATATCGCTAAATAAATCTATGATTAATGAAGCATATGCTTTTGATATTTATTTCTAGAATTTTTTGTCATACATATTTCTATAATTACAGAACATGTAATTGAAAAGAACATGTAGAAGCCTTAAATTCCGGAAATTTGAACGGGACCACTTTCGAATCTAAGGTATCCGCAAATAGGCGGAGACAATTATTAGTAAACCGCATGTTTGTGGAATTTAAACATTAGCACATTATTTTTTGCACTACGAATTGAAATGGAGAAGAGAGGCAGAGAGAGAGACATCGTGTTGATTTTATTGAGAAAATTATTAAATGATTTTATTGTTTTGGGATGAGGTAGATGTCTCGACCCGCAGACCATAATACAGAAGCGAGATAAGCCTATACATGTACTTACTAATGACACTGTCAATACCAGAATTCTTTCAAAACAGCCCTAATGAAAAGCATAAAGTTAAATAGGAAACATATTATCTTCAAACCCTATAAAAAATAGCGCAAAAATTTCCCATAGTTTAAAGTTGGAAGTACGATAGATAATGTTACAACAAAGACTTAAACACAATGAAATTTTCAATGAAAGCGTTAGTGTATCGAACAACAGACGGTCACGTGAGAAAGGTGATTATAATATCAATCGCTGATGCTCGGTGACCGGTTAATTTAGTAGCTATCTCGACCCTAGTTTGAGGACATTTTTTTTTAATTAGATATGAGCCGCAACTTGGCCAACATTGTCCTTTGGATATGTAAAAGTTTAAGTTAAAATACACATTCTGTGCACATAAGAAAAATGGCCAAGTTGCGGCTCGATGTAAAAAAGTCGATGAAAACTGGTATGCATATGAATAACAAAAGAAATGAGACAAAACTGTTAGAGCCCCGTCTCAAAAGGTAGTGAAACGGAAATTGGTTTTGTGATTTAGTTTCGTTTTAACGTTAGACCTACGTTCTTATATAAATTCTTAAACACTAAAAATATTAATTCTCAGATCATACAAGTAGTATGAAACTGCCTATGTACTAGGGCTGCACTGAGGTAATACATGTTGTGTTACGGGAACTCAGGGGACCTCTCTGGTGACGGAGTGGATAAACATTAGTTTGTTTATTCTCTTGCATACGGTCGTAAGACCTGAATAAGGCAGACGGATGCAGGGGATGAACAGCTAAGTGTTTCACAGTACACCAAAGCACGTAAGACCTGGATAAGGCAGTCACTTGGTTCTAGAGAGAGGTGGCATACAATTAGAGGTGGGGGAAGTGCCAAGATGCAGCAGTACTAGTGGAGTGGCAGGACCGAAGTAATTCATTGCGGGAGACACCCGTCGACCACAGTTAGTGGTTGTCCAATCAAGAAGAAACCCATTGTATTTGTATATATATTTGGTTGTAATTTTATTTGCTCAACAAAAATCTGAGTTAACAGGTTAACGAACCTGAGTGTAACGCCTCGGTGATACAAGACATATCACCACACACCCAAGCTCGGCCGCTTTGCACGTTACAGTAGTGTCAATCGGCATTATTTAATACTTTCATATAATATAATATACCAAAACCTGCTCTTAAGATATTTTTTAATACATATAAAACATAAATTTAATGATTTTTGGAATTTTATTTTGCGCAAATCATAGGGATCCAACTCTCATAGCTTAAGTGCAGTCAATCTTTAATTAAAAGTTTACTTTTATTTTCGTTTAACAGCCTCAAATCATAGCACTAAAGATAGTAATGTGGTGTTTTCAGCTTGCAGATCAAATTAAAGTTACATGCATTTTATAATAAAACTGATAACAGTAAGCGCTTGTTTATTTCATAAAAAGTTATTGATGAATTATTCAATCAAAACCTGGTTTAAGTGATATAACGAAAATAAGCTCTGGTCACTGATTAAAAAGCAAAATATGCAAATCCTTTCCATTTATGTCCGATCTCACTCTTTGTTGAAAGTTCTAGAAAGTCAGGTGGCATCAAACCCGTCGTCAAAAAAGAAAATCGAGGCGATTATTTATCATGAATCGGCATGGAAATACATTTGAAGCAATTGGTAACACAATGAGATGGTGAATATATCAATGATGAATTAGTAAGTTGTGCTTATGTTTTATAAATAAATGTCGATTAATGGCCTCGATTATTTACTTAGACATTATATAAATGGTGCCTGTTTTGGAGGGTAACACTTGAAATTGACACCCCAAGGAAAACCATTGTCAACCGACGCGTCAGCGGAGGTTGACAATGGTTTTCCTTGGGGTGTCAATTTCAACTGTTACCCTCCAAAACAGGCACTATTTATTTTATTATACTGAATGTCATTTTTTATAAAAAGATGTCTACAAAAAAACGTCGATTCATTGTCTTTACGTTCACGTTTATAGAAAGCTTTCAAACACCCCGCTACTTCAAAAAAGATTCACTAACCTCTTTATTGTTTATTTGATACTCTAAGAGTCCTTTATCATCTAAAGTTTCGTTGTCAAGCACTCGCAAGCATGTTTCGTCTGTCGTTTGTTGTTTTAAAGTAAGCTACATCAGACGCAAGCTTTTATTTACATCAAGTTTATTCCGGTTCTTTCAAACGCGCAACTGACGTATTGAGAATTCTATGGTGAACCGTACGCGCAGAATTTCCACGCATGTGGCATTACCGTTGTGTTACCCGTTGGCACGTGTGTTGCTAAGGCTGAGGGTAATAGAACAGATTGTTAACTGCTTCTAAACCAATCAGATTTTAGTATTTAACATGAAAGTCTAATAAATAAAATTGTACAATTTGATTTTTAAACATTTACTTAATATTCATAATCATAAAAAATCAATGAGATACTACAATCTATGGCTTCGTTGTTTTTTCCTTTGAAGTAAAGTGTACAATGATTGGAGATACACCGGTGGGCGGAGCCAGCAAAACCTTTGCCGTGTAGATAAATTATTGAACACCAAGCGATTTCAAATTCAGCATTTTAAATTACATGTATGTATATTGATATATTGGTATATTGAGGTTGACAGTATTCATATCTGATTAACACAACTTATCTCAAATATATATTGTTCCACAGAACTCCTGAAGAATTTTATTCCCCTTTTTAATATTCTGTGGTTCGGTGAAGAGTACGAGAATTTAAGCTTTTCATAGATTTTCCTTAAGAAAAATATGTTATTATTCTTCTATAAATGTTTTACTAACATAGTAATAGACGGAATTGTCAATTGTAAATTTAGTTAGATTATTCATTCTGCTAATTATAAAAAGAAAATATACAAAGAATATTATTGAGATTCGATTTTGAATGCAATCTACCAAATGTGTCCATTATTGTTGCTATTTCTTTTTCTGTTCTGTTTGCTGATACCTGAGGATCGGAAAGTTTTAAAAGACTGATTCATTGGGATTCCTGAGATTTCTACACCGTCAGTAGTATCTGTATAGTCATCAAACTCGTCACTGTCAAAATCATCTCCATCTGACACTTCCGGGCAGGTCAATTCCTGAGAAACCTTTAACTTCCGGACTAGACTGTAGCGCGTTTTTGGTTTTGGTTTACTGTATTCTACTTCCGGCTGGTTTATTTTGCTTTTATTCGTGGAAGAATGGGTTTTTCCACAATTTTGAGCACGATGAGATAGCATGGGGCTTGTTGAGTTGTTATGCATATTTCTGTCACTTTGATATCTTTCGCTGTACGAAGAAAGTTGATTCTGGTTGGATGGTGTGGTGTTATCTAATAAATACAAGAAACTGATTTAATGAGATATATTTTATCATTGTATTACGATAAAAAAATACAATCTGTGAATATACATGCATCTTTTGAAATAGATATTATTCTATTTTATTTAGAAATGGACTTTTTTTAATGTGTGGGTTTTTACAGTATTCTAATTTACCTAGTTTATCTTTGGTGTTCTGTCTGCCTTTACTGAAAAGAAATGAAAAGAAACGAATATTAGAAAATCCATATATTAATTAATGTCTTCAATTTACAATCATAAAATAATACTTCCAATTGAAGAGCGTAAAAATTTAGGTTTTTTTTAGGCAATATGTTTATTTTCTATAAATGGGATGCTAATTATTAATTCAAGGAATGCTTATCATATTTAGAAAATAAATAAATGAAGGGTTGTCGTGCTTTTTGAAGAGTTAATTTTTACTTTCGCTTGATTATCATAAGCATGCCGTAATGTACATTTGAATATAAAAACATGCAATTTACTGGGAAAAAAGGTGTTTAACTTTATCTCCAAAAGAGAAATCATTGTCCGAACGTCCTATTTTTTTCGCCAATCTGTTGCTTCGCCTTACTATCAGAATTGATTACTTTTAGCTATTGGATTTTGATATCAAGATCTGAACATCATTAGCTGCTTTTTTTATGAGAAAAATAATACAGCAGGTAGGTAAACAGCTTTGGTGAACACGGTATTTGTCATTTTATAAATTTTACACAAAGCCACCAACGCATGCGCGTAAAGATGACTGTGAGTATTGGAATTTGTTTTCCCTTCATTCTTAAATTTCAAATACGATTTTCTCAAAAAAGCTTGCTAGGAAATAAAAAATCTAAATTTACAATGTTCGAGGGGCTTTATTTC